GATAGGATATACTCAAGGTCATACTTTGGCTCTTGTGGACTTATTCTAATTTTCTTCAGCTTCAACTTGAACTTGCATTCATTGATGGTCTGTTCCGCAGTCGGCCCTGGCCTTGTTCTGACTGATGATATTGAGCTTTTCCATTGTCTCTTTCCACAGATGTAGTCGATTTGATTCCTGTGTATTCCATCTGGCAAGGTCCATGTGTACAGTCGCCATTTATATTGAAAAAAGGTATTTGCAATGAAGTCGTTGGTCTGGGAAAATTCTATTGTGAGATCGCTGGCATCATTTCTATCACCAAGGCCATATTTTCCAACTACCAGTCCTTCTTGTTTGTTTTGAATTTCTGTATTCCAATCACCAGTAATTATCAATGCATCCTGATTGCATGTTTGATCAATTTCAGACTGAAGAAGTTGGTAAAAATCTTCCATTTCTTCATTGTTGGCCTTAGTGGTTGGTGCATAAATTTGATTAATAGTCATATTAACTGATCTTCTTGTAGGTGTATGGATACTATCCTATCACTGTCAGCATTGTACTTCAGGATAGTTCTTGACATGTTCTTTTTGATGATGAACACGACACCATTCCTCTTGTTATTCCTGGCATAGTAGACCATATGATTGTCTGATTCAAAATGGCAAATACTAGTCCATTTCAGCTCACTGATGCCTAGGATATCAATGTTTATGTGTTCCATTTCATTTTTGACGATTTCCAATTTTCCTAGATTCATAGTTCATACGTTCCACGTTCTGATTATTAATGGGTGTTTGCAGCTGTTTCTTACTTTGAGTCATGCTACATCAGCAAATGAAGGTCCCAAAAGCTTGACTCTATCTGCATCATTAAGGTCGACTCTACTTTGTGGAGGCAGCTCTTCCCTAGTCATCTTTTGAGTGCCTTCCAACCCGAGGGGCTCATCTTCCAGTACTATATCAGACAGTATTCCGCTGCTATTCATAAGGTTTTCACTGGCTAATTCTTTTCAGAAGTAGACAGCCAGGTCCTTCTTCCTAGTCTGTCTTAGTCTGGAAGCTGTGCTGAAACCTGTCCACCATGGGTGACCCTGTTGCTATATGAATACTAGTGGCATAGCTTCCATCATCACAGCAACACGCAAGCCCCCACAGTACGACAAACTGACAGATGCGTGGGCGTTTATGAGGTTAGTACACCTTAATTATCACCACTCACTTGTTTGCTGATTTTACATTTGCTGAGTACAGCCAACTATGTATATATGAGGTTCACGTCAGCATTATTGGGAAGAAAAGACCATAAATAACTAAATATTCATGAATAGGGCATGAAGATTAACTGTGTTATGGCCACATTAAGGAAGATTGTACAGCCATTAAAGAAAATAATAATCACTGTATACATATATATATTTATAATTAAATGAAATAAGAGAAAAAGTATAGTATACTTCAATTTGTGAAAAAAAACATTTAAATCATTTGTTTCTGCCTATGCTATAATCTGAGAAGCTGGACTATATGAAGAAGAATGCGGCATCAGGATTGGAGGGAGACTCATTAACAACCTACAATATGCAGATGAACAAACCTTGCTTGCTGAAAATGCAGACGACTTGAAGCACTTACTGATGAAGATCAAAGACTACAAACTTCACTAAGGATTACACCTGAATGTGAAGAAAATGAAAATCCTCACAACTGGACGAATAAACAACAACATGATAAGTTAACCAGAAATTGAAGTTGTCAATGATTTCATTCTACTTGGATCAACAATCAACATCCATGGAAGAAGCAGTCAAGAAATTAAACAATGCATTGCATTGGGCAAATCTGCTGCAAAAAACCTCTTTAAAGTTTTAAAAAGCAAAGGTGTCACTTTGATGACTAAGGTGTACCTGACCCAAGCCATGGTCTTTTCAATTGCTTTATATGCTTGAGAAAGCTGGACAATTAAAAAGAAAGACAGAAGAACTAATGCATTTGAACCTGGTGTTGCTGAAGAATATTGAGTATACCGTGGACTGCCAGAAGAATGAACAAATGACTCTTAGAAGAAATACAACCAGAAAGCTCCTTAGAAGTGAGGATGGCGAGACCTGGGCTCACTTACTTTTGACACATTATCAGGAAAGACCAATTGCTAGAAAAGGACATCATGGTTGGCAGCCAGTCAGTGAAAATGTGGGAAACCCTCAATGACATAGATTAACAGAATAGCCAAAACAAATGATTCAAACATACTAACAATCATGAAGATGGCATAGGACCGGGCAACATTTTTTTCTGTTATATGTAAGGTCACTATGATTCCGAGCTGACTTGACAGCACCTAACGATAACAAGACTAGTTTGGAAAGATATACAAGAATCTGATAGGAGCAACTGGCTCCAGGGAAGAAAAATGGGAGGTGGGAAAGAGACATACATGCTAACTACCCTTTCTGCCTTTTGAATTATTGTACTATCTATAGGTATACTTATCTTTTAAAAAATAAATTGATTTTAGTAGTTGAAATAAAATAAGCACCAAGGCCCCAAGTATCAGTCAGGGTTCTCCAGAGAAAAAAAACCAACAGAATACACACACACACATTTATATTAAGAGATTTATTCAAAGGATTTGGCTCACACAATTGTAGGGGCTGGCCAGTCCGAAATCTGTAAGGGCAAGCCAGCAGGCTGGAAACTCAGGCAGGAGTTAATGCTGCAGTCTTGAGGCAGAATTTCTTTTTCTCCAGTAAACCAGTTTTTGCTCTTCGTGCCTTTAACTGAATAGTAGTTGAGACCCACCCACATTATTGAGGCTAATCTCCTTTTACTAAAAATTGAACTGACTGTAGATATTAACCATATCTGTAAAATATCTTCACAGCAACACCTAGATTAGTGTTTGATTAAGTAACCAGGTATTACAGGCTAGCCAAGTGGACACATATAACTAACCATCTCACCCTCCATCAAAAGGCCTCTTCTCATCCCTGATCCTCTCATCTTTCTTCACAGTTCTTCTCCAGTTACCCAACACCTCTGCTAGAAAGAGACCACACTTCCTACTGCCAAATAAACATGGCTCTTCCTCAATTTATGCATTTGTTGGTAAGTTTCTCTCCCACCTAGAACATTCTCCTTTCCCCCCTGCACTTTTAGACCCAACTCCAGTGGCACTTTTCCCAGGAGCCCTTTCTGGCCACCCGGATCCTCTCTAAGCTTTCTTTCCCTTGAAAGGTTATGTTTGAGACCTGAACCTCAAAAGTAAGCACATAAAATTATTTGAAGTAAATGGTTGGCTGTTGTTTCATGTGAATTGGTTTTGTCTTTAAAACTAGATTTTTAAGTCCCTTGAGAACAGGCAGGCAACAAACTCAAATGTCTTTGTATCCTTGACACTGCCCAGCTTAGGGCTGAATAATTATTGAGTGTTCTCCATGCCTGCTGAGTAGGGGACTGGATGCTGGAGGAAGAACCAAATAGACTCTTTAGAGGTTTTCAGTCTAAAAATATTTTGGTATGGGACCACTCTTATCAGGGCAAGAACTTCTGAAGGAAATTCAGAAATCCTGGGATGTTGGAGGCACATCACAATGTTGACAGGGTTTAAGACGGTAACATTAATGTGTGAACCAGTGGACATAGAAGTAGTGGATACTCGAATTGAATGGGAAAAAGTCTGCCCTGCCTAAAGGTGTTCAAATTGAGATTTTCAAAAACCACTCTTTCAGCCAAACATTACAACTTTGAGGGATTCAGCAAAAGAGCCACAAGTTAGTAGCCCTTAATCAAATGTCCTGCCAATAATCCATCTCCATGTATGGGCAAGATGCTATAAAATCTGCAGAGGCAACTCTGGAAAACCAAACCTTGGATAGACTTCCAGAAGTCAGCCTCATTCATGTGCCTCCATGGAAGGCAGTGTTTACAATCTCTTCCCATCCATCTCAACCCTCCCCCTCCCACCCCCTCCCAGTCCTTCCTTAACTCTCAGAATACTATTTAAAAGGACTGCAGCCTTGTCCTTTCTTTTACACATCAGACATGGTCCTCTTCCTGAACCTCTCAATACTAACCACATATTCCCTGTGACATCAAAACTCTGTTTCCAAGACTTAACACGATGATGTCTGCCCTATCTGCTTATATGTGTTTTTCAGTTATTTTCCCAGTAAAGGTGAGGTAGTTGATGGAGTTCCTCTGACTTGGCCACTGTCTCTCTTATAGGGCACACTATGTGCTTAACGACTCAGTTATATGGGAGCGGTCACCAAATTATCATTATGAAAGAGAGAGTTGAGTCATCATGGTATGGGGAATAGAGAGACCATGAGAGAGTATATGCTGCCTGTGACCATGGCACCTTTAGTCCCAGGCTTTGCAAATCACACAGACAACTGTCTGCAACCCACGCAGATAATCTGAACACAGAACCACCAAATGAGCTTCTCTAAGACAGATACAGGTCTGTGATGCTATGCCTGCCTTGGGAAATAGGAGGGCTTTGTAACACAGTCTTGTGGTCTGGTTCCATCCACTGTGAGGCAGAGATGAAAGGTCTAGAATCTGGAGGAATTAGGTTCCAAGACCCTGGAAACCTAGGAAGGCAGAAGACGAATGAAGTTTAGATCATGTGGAGCCCTACCTTTTTTCTGTGGGATGTTGGATATCCCTTATATACCTATGGCTCTATCTTCATGATTGTACTAATTATTTGGCAAGTGAAAAAGAGCCAGCAAGGATTAAGGTTGGGACCTAACAGGAGCTGTTACCTGGTAGGGAAACACTATCACCATGACTGAACTAATTAAGCCTCAAACAAGAACATTTTATCCCCTCACTTTCACTGTCATTCAGTCAAAAGCCTTACCATTCAGCTTCCTACAAGATGCCACTGACCCTCTCCTGTCACACCTAACCCCAGTTTTAATCGGGTTTTCCTCACTATATCCCAGATCAGCTGTAAACTTGGGGAATTATTTTGGTTGGTGGTCATTTAGGGCCTTTGATGGCTGAAGTTGTTGGGCGACTATAACCCTTTAATCTGTTCCATTTTTCCTCCTGTTTCATCCTAAACTCCCCACAGAACTCAACCAGAGAATGGGGATGGAAAGTATGGAGTACAGAAGAACCTGGAAGTCAGTCAGAAATAAGCAGAGAAGAGAAATGTTGGGGTGAAAAAGGTAGCGTAGGGAAAGAAAAGGTAAGGAGGTCTTACAATTGGAATATAGAAAGGGATTGGGAAATGTCTTTGGATTTTGTCTCATTTTGGACATGAAAAGAAAATTGGGTTGCAGCTTCACACTCCAACTTTTTTTGTCTTTAAGTGTCACCGAAGAGTCAGACAAAGGGCTAGAGATAGAACATCAAGAGGTAAAGTCCCAATCTCTCCTCTGACTCCCCTTCAGTGTGGTAAGGTTCCCATAGATATTGACCATTTCTTACCCTTAGGTGCCCGGAGCCAGGTGCTTTAACCACTGAGACTCCACTTCCCCATATTGAGAATGTCTCATAGAGACTTCCTTGGATGGAAAATCAGAGCCTGGGAATGTCCCAAGTTCTCTACCTTACCCTTCTCAGAATAAAGAAATGAAATAGGACATAAGTCCCTAACTGTCATTTACTGGATTGGTGACCCTGTAGAAGTCACTTCATCTCTCAGTCTTGTTATCCATAAAATGAGCATAACACTGATGATCCTGCCTCACTCACGCTGAGGTTGTGAACATAAAATGAGATTAGAAATGAGATAACACAGTGTAAATGTTTAAGTGGTACACAAACCCTTATTGCACGGCTCGGGGGGGTTTCTGTTTCCTCTCCTTCAGAGTCAAAAGCCTTACTACTCAGCTTCCTAGAGGATGCCCCTGCCCCTCTCCTGTCACACCTAACACTGTCTCCTGGTTTATCAGCTAGGAAAGCTTCCCAGGAAGAAGCTGAGAAACCACGGAAGCTGCTCTCTCTCATGAAAAGGTGACCTCTTACTCTTGGCTGTCCCAACTCCCAGGCTGGCCCGCGATGACTTCTCAGATTGGCATTGGGCAGAGGATGAGGAGAGGAATATGGCCGGGAGGCAACAATACACAATAGAGGCTGGTTCCCTGGTTGAGAGGGTTGCCAGAGCCAAGAGGGTCAGACATCCCAGAAGAGAAGTCTCCCAATTCCACTCTTGGTCCTAGAGCCACAGTAACTCTTGGAATTCAGAGTTTGACTAGTGTGTAATTCATAAGCAATTCTACATGGGGTTGAACTCAGTAATGAGACAAGTTATCCAGCTAAGGGAAAGGATCTTGCATAAATGTCATCATTATCATATTCTCTCTGCAGCTACACCCTTTCAGGGCAGACTCCTGTGAGTCTGGCTGGTCCTTGCAGACATTACCTCCTCTTGTCTGTCTTCAGGGAGGTCAGTTCCTGGGACAGCCCTCAGACAGGAGCTTATCACCTTATCCTCTTCTTAGGATCTCTAGAGAATGGGGTGATTGACAAGAGGTGCTGTGTACAGCACCAGGGATATCCCACAGCCCCCAGAATGCAGAATTCCTACAAGAATCTCCTTTTCTTTCCTTTCAGTATGGAAATACTCAATAGCAGGCTTTGCTTTCTTAGCCCCAAATGAGACTGACTCTGGGTTCTACCTGGTGGTATTGCTGGTGTTGCCCCATCAGCAAACCACTTGCTCCCCCCACCCCCAACTGCTTGATTCTCTTCTCCTAGTTCAGCTTCTCAACATAGGTCAGGAGAAAACTGAACCCCACCTCCCAGTCCTCTCGGAGGGCCCTGCCCACCCATGGGTTGTCGGAGACCTTGCCCAACAAGATCCAGACCCTCAGCTCAGCCAGCCCTAACCTGCTGAACGGCACTTTCTTAGGGAGAAGAGCAAAGTGGTAGACTCCCAGGGGGAAGCCTAGGGTTTACTGGCCTAGGGGAGGGCAGGGCCAGTCCCCCTGGTCACACTCTTCTAAGGAGGCAGATGACACTGCATCAGTAACGGCTGCCATGTTTCCCTTCCCAGCCAGGGCTGGCTTCCTCAGGAGGGAAGTGTGCGGCGGCTCCTGTGTGCAGACCCCTGCTGCCACATCTGCAATGACGTGGCTCTGGAGATTCAGCAACTGCTGGCTGGTGAAAACACCCTGATGGCCCCCACTTTAGCAGGGGCATCACAGCACTCCTCTTGCCTAGAGGCTTTGTCTACGTCTGGTGTCTCTGAGCCGAGTGTGAAGCTGCATTCCAAGAACTCCAGAGGGCTTTCATTGGCATCGGTAACCCCCACAGTGTCACAAGTAACAGATCAGAAATCCTTAACCCAGACGGCTGCCCCATCAACCGGTGCGGTCAGCATCCAAGATCACTGGGATGAACACCTGCAGCTCAGGCAGGAATTTCAACTGCCAGATGTGTCCTTGGACTCGGAAGCTCTGTGCTCTTCAAGGCTTGAGGAGCCTGGGATTCCTGTGAACCAGCAGGAGAGGGAAAAGAGCAACTCTGAATTTGTCCTGGAGAAACAAGGTCAGTATCCCTTGAACACTAGGTCCCCTTGCCTTCTCTGAGCCCAGTGCTCACTAACCTAAAACACACTGTGACCTTGCATTCTCTGTACACCTGCTGTTCCTTAGTCTCAAAGCCCAGAGGTTTCTTTAGGAACATATATACAAATGGATGCATTTCCTCATTTGAGGGCTCCTAAGATCTGTGCAGCAGTTCCTGTGGCAGCTTACACCACACCCTTTCTCAGTGTTTTCTCAAAACCTACCAAAAAACAAACAAAAAAACCAACTATTTCTTTCATCTTGAATGCTACCTGTAAGGCTTCTGTTGAAAATATGGAAACCTTTTAGCCCCTGACCCGGGGTTCATGGGAGGCTGGCCAGCCCACTGAACTTTCTACATTTTTGAAGGATTCACTATGGATCCAGAGCAATAATAATACTAAGAGCAAATTCCAGACTCATGCTCTGGCTCCCACCTTTCAGAAGCTCCCACCCTTCACAAGTTCCCACCCTTCAGCTTCTACCTGGTCTCTGTCCATTGTCTAGGGGACACGCGGAGACCTCAGTGTACCCTCTACAGCAGAAATACAGCTATTCTGTGATTTCTTTTCTGTGCATAATGAGTCCTCGGTCCACCTCTAGAGATCTTTTCATAAAAGGGGAGCCCTGGTCTCTTACTCTTCGATTATTTCTCCTTCATCTCCATTCTGCCTAAAATTTCTCCCCATCCCAGTCAGCTCCAGCTTCTCCTCCGTATTCCTCAGTTTGGGCCTGTTCACCTGACCATCAGTAAGCCGAGATCAATGTCCCTATTTCTGAACCTGGCCGAGTGAGAAGCTTTGGGCTGGCACCTCCTGCAGAGGCAGCTCCAGCTTCAGTGGGGCTTGCTAGGTGTAAACCCTATGTGTAGCCCTAAGCCATACTGCAGCTCCTACTGCCAGGCCTGGGGCCTTCCTGGTTTGGCAAGCACATTTCAGTCCTCAAGACGGAGGTAGCTTTGTCCTGCTCAGAGGCTGCTGGAATTCCACCTCCAGAAGCAGCTGATCCAGCAGATGGACTCACCGTCGCTAGGGCTGCCCTAGAAGATCCAGAAATCCATCTAGTTGCCCCTGTCCCCTGCTGATCAGCAGCCCCAGTCCTGGAGAGACAAAATCCCTGGGCAGTATAAGTCTCCCCAGCCTGCACTCCACAGGCAAATGGGGACAGTAACCTGTTTTGATGCACTGTAGCAGCAAGGTCAGTCTCCATGCTACAGTTGCTGATCCAGGCTAGGGCTATATTGTAGAGCACATTGCTCAAATAAGGGAAGATCTGCCAGGGCACCATCCCTGCCCACATCTGTAGCTGTTGGGACTGAAGAATCACTGGGGACTGCAGCATTCCAGGGGCCCTGGCAGTGACTCAATTCCCTTGCACCCCGGAAAGCAAGCACCTAGACCTGGAGTCAGCAGTCATCCCCTACATGCATGAGGAAGTGAAGCCCTGAATACAGACAGAACCTGACCAGCAGCAACAAGCCTCATTAGATGTTGTCACTGATCACCTTGAGCTGCCCAGGCCCTCTCCCAGGAAGTCATTCAGAAACTGGAGACAGGTTTTGATCTTCCTGTCAGGGCTGCCTGCCCTCTATTATATGGCTTTCTTCAAGGCCACGGCCCCAGGAATCACTTCCCAATCTGCAATCACAGAGATGGTGCTTGGGCCTGCTGGGCGCTCAGTAGTCTGAAAAGCAATATATAAGTCCTGGACAGGCTTTCAAAATGCCAGTGGGACTTGTGTAGACAGGGCACAAAAGTCTAGAATAAAGTGCAGGTGGATGGAGATGTTGGCGCTAGAGGGCCATACAGATCCTACTAGCTTCTACTCACTCACGGCACCCATCTTGGCCCACTACATGTCCACCTGAGAAAGAAGATCCTGGAAATAAATTTGGGGAGTCACATAAAGACAAAGGAGTCTAGGGAGCAAACATGGTCATTCCAAAGATTATCTCCACCTATGTCCTTTAGGAGTCTATAACCAAAGAAAAAGACTCCTCCAGGAAATTGTCATCAGAAGCAGACATCCCATGTGCTTCAGATTCAGCTTGCAATTGAGCTAAAGGTAGTGCAGCAGAGCCAAAAGTAAGCTAGTTCCAAGAATGCCCCATGGCTCTTCTCACTGGGCCTCCACAATCTCACAACCCAGCAGGGACATGACAGATGCCCACATGCTTTGTTTTCAGGTGAAAGTCAAAGTAAATAGCCCCACCCGGGAGAAGCCCTGGACTCTTTAGCTCAGGCCTTTGCAAGGACAAGGACAAGTCCCCAACTCCAAAACAGAAGACAGAGGACTCAGGGAATTGCAAAGCAGCAGGGAGGGGGGACCACAGAAAAGGAAGATGTAGGGTTGGGGCTCTCCCCAGCCAGAGACAACAGCCACTCTGCTGAGATTGAGGGGTGTACAGGGGTACTTTTAAGCAGAATTGCCAGAGCCCCTGACTTTCTAAATGTATCTCCAGGATTTTCTTTCTCCGGTAGAAATTTAGTTTGGCCCAATGGGTGTCTTGAGTGAGTAGGGGCTAACAGAATCTGTCTGACTTTGTAGAGCCACCATCTCCATCCTCTCAGCTTGCTGCTCTCTGTGAGTACTTTCACCAGCTTCCCCCTCACCTTAAGGTCCCAGAGCATCCTCTAGATTCCCATGGGGCAAAAGGCCAGATAAAAATGACCTGCAAGGGAGTTAAAGCAAGCTGAATACCTTACCCAAGCCAGAATTCTTGAGAATGCCAAACCTGGGGTGCCCAGGCCTTGATGGGCCAGATCTGATAGGGCCAACTTACTGGGCCATCATTTTTTGGGCCAAATTTTGCAGGTCCAGCATTTGAAGGGGCCACATTTTTCAGCTCCAAACTCAGCAAGGTCAGATGTTTCTGAGCCATAGAGCCAGGCCTTACAGAACAAAACATTGTAGGGCCAGATTTACAAAGCCAGTCTTTGAGAGCCAATTTTCCAGGGTCATGTTATGCAGGGTCAAAATTTGCAGGTCCCCACTTTTCAGCACCAAGAGTTACAGGGTATTATAAGAATAGCCCATACTCACAAAAGCCCCACTCTTCCAGAAGCTCCAGAAGCTGGCTTGGGAGAGAAGACGAAGCGCTTCCTATACTGGCTTAACCCCAAGATGGAAGGCCAAGGGCAAGAGGAATGTATTCTCCTCTCTAACCCTGTGACAGTGGCCAAAGCTAAGACAAAAAATGTTGAGAAGAGCTCAGACCTCACCAACAACCATGTGGGAGAAACTAAGTCAGAGAAGACAACAGGAAATCCCAAGGCCCAACCTCCCCCAACTGAGGAGGAAAGCCTGACCTTCTCTGATGCCCCCAGTGCTCAGCCAATCTGCTCCAACAACACTGCCTTCAGTTTTGCCATTCCTGGGTCTTGTGCCACCTCTACCAGTGCCCTGAACACTGTCCTCAACTGACTTGTGACACTCAACTAGAAAATCTGCCCCAGATCTCAATTTATGTTAGCGGAAGACACTTTTCTAAACAAAGAGAAGACTTAGTGCAGTCAAGAAGAATTCACACGTTCCCAAACCTCTGCACCCCCATGAAAAAGGCTGTCATCACCATTTCCATTAATGTGCATATGAGGCAGGGCCTTCCCCAAATATACTCCACACTTCCAAGCAAAGAACCACCTGTTTGTGCCTCCTTATTTTCAAATGTAGTATGTTATACAGGGAAACCCTGGTGGCATAGTGGTTAAGTGCTACAGCTGCTAACCAAAAGGTCAGAAGTTCAAATTCACCAGGCTCTCCTTGGAAACTCTATGTCGTATAGGGTTGCTAGGAGTTGGAATCAACTCGACGGCAATGGGTTTTTTTTTTGGTTTATGTTATACAGAGAGTAGGAAAGGTTGAAAGTGCTTCCCATCTGGTATAGGAACTTAAACTCACATTTCAGACGGGCCAGCATTCCACACAACTCTCCCCTCAACCCCACCATGGATGGTGGATAAAGGGACTTGAGCAGAGAAGACAAGACCCTTGTCTAAGGTACACTGAGGGTATAGGTCAGGCTGGAATTCAATCATGGCTTCCCATGATGACCTTGGACCCCAGAGGAGCAATGTGGACATGATGATATCACTGGCCAGAAGTTGTGGCTGGAAATCCAATGTATTCTTGGCCTACCCATAGGCAAAATTCATTAATAATTTTATATATATATATATATACACACACACACACATGAAGATCAGTTGATGAGAGGTCCTCAAAAAAAAAAAAGGGTCACAATAAAAATGATCCTGAGCTGAGTCTTACATTCAACAATTCAAATATTCTAGTACTTACATTGTTTTACTACTTACTTTGTGCCTTGTACTATTTTCAGACACCAGGGACATACAGTGAATAAGACACAGGCCTTGCCACATGGACCCATGGTCTCATGGGGTAGAGAGTCAAGTAAATAGTTATTAAAGGCAATGTCATAAGAGCTGGTTAAAGCAAGTAGGTAAAAGAACAGAGGAGGTCATTTAACCTAATTTTGGGAGTGTTCATGGAAAGTCTCCTGGAAGAGGTGATGTGTAGACTGTGTTTCAAAGGATGAGTAAAAGTTATCCAGGCAGAGGGTAGGGAGTGGTAAGCTTTCCCAGGCTGAGAGTACAACATGAGCAAAGGCATGGTGTTAGGAAAATGGCATGCCATGTCAGAGAACAGTGACTAGCTGGAGAAGTCCCTGTAATAATCATGTCTTAGTCATCTAGTGCTGCTCTAACAGAAATACCACAAGTGGATGGCTTTAGCAAAGAGAAGTTTATTTTCTCACAGTCCAGTAGGCTACAAGTTGAAATTCAAGGCATTAGCTCCAGGGGAAGGCTCTGGAGAAAGGTCCTTGTGATGTATCAGTCTTTCCTTGGTCTGGGAGCTTCTCTGCTCAGGAACCTCAGGTCCAAAGGATGCGCTCTGCTCCTGGCACTGCTTTCTTGGTGGTATGAGGTTCCCATGTATCTCTGCTCACTTCTGTCTTTTATATCTCAAAAGAGATTGGATTAAGACACTATGCAATTTTGTATACCTCATCAATATGACCTCATCATAGTGACAGAGTTTACAACACATAAGGAAATACATCAGATTCACAAAATGGTACACAGTCATACAACACTGGGAATCATGACCCAGCCAAGTTGACAGATATTTTTGGGGGACACAATTCAATCCATGACAGATCACAAAAGTGCATCAAAATGTTGGAGGGTTCAGAATGAGGTTACACAGCTACAGAATGGATGGCATTCATTCATCCATTGTTTCATTCTGTTAATAAATATTGAGCACCTACTATATGCCAGGTGCTTTTATGTTGTTGTTGTTGTTAGGTGCCATCGAGTTGGCTCCAACTCATAGCTACCCTACGTACAACAGAATGAAACACCACCTGGTCCTGCGCCATCCCCACAATCGTTGTCATGTCCGAGCCCACTGTTGCTGCCACTGTGTCAGTCCATCTCATTGAGGGTCTTTCTCTTCTTCGCTGACCCTCTACTTTACCAAGCATGATGTCCTTCTCCAGGGACTGATCCCTCCTGATAACATGTCCAAAGTATGTGAGACGTAGTCTTGCCAACCTTGCTTCTAAGGAGCATTCTGGTTGTACTTCTTCCAAGACATATTTGTTTGTTCTTTTAGCAGTCCATGGTATATTCAATATTCTTCGCCAACACCACAATTTAAAGGTGTAAATTCTTCTTTGGTCTTCTCTATTCATTGTCCAGTTTTCACATGCATTTGAGGCGATTGAAAATACCATGGCTTGGGTCAGGGGCACCTTAGTCTTCAAGGTGACATCTTTGCTTTTCATCCCTTTGAAAACGTCTTTTGCAGCAGATTTGCCCAATGTAATATATCTTTTGATTTCTTGACTGTGGCTTCTATGGGTGTTTGGTCCAGTTGTGAGGATTTTTGTTTTCTTTATGCTGAGGCATAATCCCTACTGAAGGTTGTGGTCTTTGATCTTCATCAAGCCTTCCTCACTTTCAGCAAGCAAGGTTGTGTAATCAGCATAACACAGGTTAGAGTCTTTCTCAAATCTTGATGCCCTGTTGTTCTTCATAGAATCCAGCTTAGGTGCTTTTATAGGTAATGGAAATACACCAGTGAAGCAAAGAGGAAAAAAAAGAAAATCTGCCCCCAAAGAGTTTACACTGGGGGTATGCTAGGGAAGCAAATAAAATAAACATAAGTAAAAAATACAGTATTCAGAACATGACAGATATATGCAACAAATCAGGGTGAGGAGATTGGGGATGACTTTAGTTGGGTGTAGTTTTAAATAGGGATTTCAAGGCAGATTTCACTAACAAATTAGCATTTGAGCAAGGACTAGAAGGAGATGAGAGTAAACCACATAAATAAATGGGGGAAGAGTTTTGCAGTCAGAAATGTTAGCTAATGCAATGTATGGAAGTTGGAGCATGCCTAGCCTGTTCCAAAGAACAAGGAGGCCAGTGAGCCTGAAGAAGAGTATGCAAGAGAGAACACAACAGAGGATGAGGCCAGAGTATTAACAGGAGCCCTGGTGTCACAGTGGTTAAAGGCTATGGCTGCTAACCAAAAGGTCGCTATGAGTCAGAAATGACTTGATGGCAGGGGTTTTTTTTGGTTTAGATGATGAAATGACTGGACTGATAAGCCATATCAATGTTAATATTTATGTTTCAAAATATATCAAAAGCCACCTTTTTTTTTTTTTTTTT